TACTAAAATCACTTAATATTTAAGGATTAGCTAAGTTAAATTACAAATTTAAATTAATACTAAAGGTATTGCATTTTAAGTTTTTAATAAACATCAAATTTAATATTTTATATATTTATGTTAAAAATAAAATAGAATTACTCAGGAACCAGAAAATTAATTAATTTTATGTATTCTTGAAACATAGCAAAGACTAGTGAGTGCGGCTGGCAATCATCAATCGGCTGGAAATGTCGATCAGGTAAATTCTGTTTGAGTGTGTGCCTTTTAAAATTTTGGTTGGATGATATTGATTTAAATTCAATTATTTTACTATTAATTTATATTGCATGTTTCAAGAAAGTTTATATTTATTGCTATACTCGCCCATGACAGAACGACCTTAAAAACTTGTGCGTCGTTGCGCATGGGTCCCCCTTTCATATACCCAACCATACCGATCGTAGGCCGGTCAGCTATGATCGACAGAAGGCATCGTTGAAATTTGTTTTTACGTAGCGATAACTGTTACAATGGGAAATGGCTACATTGTAGCCGCTATATTTGCATTATAAAGTCATTTTTTAAATTGTATTTTCAATATGGACAAAGACATATTGAAATTATGGCCACTAAGATATATGTGTTTTTGTGAACCCCTGTATACACTCCTCCAATTGAGGGGGACGGGAACTATGGTAGGAGAAAATCGGCCTAGCGGAACTGGCGGCCGTCAGTTTAATGCGCAAATTACGGCTGTTCTCTCTTGGGCCCGAGTATAGTGATTTGTATGGTCTATGCTTATGAAATTGATTCTTAGAAGTTTATCTAATATTTTATAGACTTAGTGATAATATTTTTTTATTAATAGTAGATACTTTATTATCTTTTAATTAGACTGTATTTTTCTAATATTATGCACTGTTAATATTTGTTATTTTATTCGACAAATTTGCATTTTTATTATTTAATCCACTATTAATTGTCCAAATATTTCTGCTTGTGTATTTTTATAATTTTTGTTTATTTAAAAAGATCTGCTATACTAGACATTTAATTAGGTATTAAATAGCAATTATAACATATAATAAGAATTTATTTTGGAGGACGGAGTGGCCGAGTAGTCTAAGGTGTCGGTTGCGACGCTGCCGACGCCGGTTCGATCCCGTTATCACGGGCGGCAAGTCATGGTGTCTGGAGAACAAGTGCCGTCATCCCCCCCCCCCGGGTATGGCAGATACCTACGGGTGCCCAAATCGAAAATTCTGCCAAAACACACACGTGTTAACAACCTACAGTTCCCCCCCTACAGTATCACAGGCTAATGACCTATGTTGTCGAAGCCTCAACCCAATAAAAAAAAAAGATTTTATTTATACTTTTGATTTTAAAAAATTTGCCTGTTTTTTTTTTTTTTTTTTTGAGAGTTAAAATATAAGTACAAGTATATCATTTATCATATTATTATTTTTTAACAATAACATATTAAAATCCCATTTTCTGATATTAAAAATATTATCGGTATTATTATTATATTAGAGAAAAACAAAAAACATTGTGACTGATTTTAATGTTTAAATTATTAAAAGAACTTGTCTTACAAGCGTACAAAATACCAAATTTATGTACTGCTGTTTCAATTTTGTAGTAAGCTTTAAGATTTGATAAAATTGACCTAACATATAACTTTATTATGATAAAAACATCATTTTTGTTTTATTTACAATATTTTAATTTTCAAGCAAGTTATGTGGATTTTTAAATTGTAATAATTTCCCCTCAAAAAGTACATCTGTATTATTCCCACTACATCAACCCAAATCTCCGCCCACATTAGAACTTAATGGTGATAACTTCTCCTAGTCTCCAACTATAAATTATCTAGGAGTTATCCTAGATGAGAAATTAACTTGAAACGGAGCTAATCAGAAACGAAGCTCTTCACTCACACTTCAAACTTCCCATAGTTAAAACTTACATACAAAATCTATCAACTTTTTGGCCTACTAAATCATGCAAAAAGTGGGCAATACTAAAACTGAGTGAAAAGCTCAACGGGGTCCTCACATTTTTTTGTTTCGTTACCGCCCCCATATCCCCTCCCCAACTTCATCCGCCTGATTCAGTCTATTATTTAAGTTAACTACACAAAACTGGAACTGCTGTTTACAAATTAGCAACATTGAATAATGTAAGATGGAGCCAACACGTCATACTGGTGTGTCCAAGGTTAAGTTAGGTTAGGTCAGTTTTTTAGTTTGATTAATGTTTTGCAATATTTTAATTTTATATATTTTCAAAAACAGTTGTTTCATTCCTTGTGAAATGTTTGTTGATGGCTTAATGATTTCATTAAATATTATTAATAGAACATTATCATTACTTTAGTGGGTATATGTAGGGTTGTAGTCCCTTGTACAGATAAATGAATGATATTTAGTATTTTAAACAATTATTTTTGTTGGTTGAAATTAAATTTAAAACGGCTTTAAAAGCATAGTATTAATATTTTATAAGGGCGCTATTATACCCGTACGTTTTGTCTCCGTCTTACAAATGTATAGTTGCTATGTTGTACATTTGTAAGACGGAGACAACACATGCAGGTGTAGCGTCCTCTTAAGCACATAAATAAAATTAGCACTTTAGACAAGTATGCAAAATAGAAATGTTTATTCATTTATACATTACCTTTTTATTTGTATACATTATTTTGTTTAAAAATGTTACAATTGATATATCAATGTGTAATATTATCATATTTAAATACATATGGCTTGTATTGGTAGTTATGTAGTCATATATAATATATTTATATATATTTATAGGTAGTATATACCAACATGTATTTATATTCATTATAGTATTTAATAATCATAGGTCAAAATGATCTGTATATATTTATAAATTGTCTACCATTCAGGGTAAAAATAAACATTTTTTGTTTAGTATTTTTATTTAGTTTATAATAATTTTAAATCTACTTTCAGAAATTTGTTCAATTATAATAATAATAAATCTTTTTTTCTACAAAACCGCCCTTACTAATTTTCTATGTTTTAAATGTTGTACATATTACATTTTAGCATAAATAAACATGTTCTTATTATTTTTTTTTGGCTTTTTCTTGTTAATTTATTTCAGTTTTTAATATAGCTTTATTTAATTTTGGTTTTGAAAATTAATAGATTTTAAATGTATCAAACATTGTATATCTAAAGTTAATCTAATATTTGATGCACTGCTCTAAAAGAGTCTTAACTTAGCTATTAGTTCAGAATTTCAAATTTATACATACATTTCAAAATATGGTATGAAATAAAAAAATTAATTTTAAACCTGTGATATTTATATTTGATGTAGGAAAAAAATGTCATAAGTGCATTAATAAAGCACTTCCAATTACATTTAAAAATATCCTAAAATAAGGATAATATATAATTTTTATTATTTTATATTATAAAGAATTAAAATATTTTTATTTTGTTATATTTATGTTTATATCACAGCTATATGTAGTTAAAAATATCAATACAAATTGTATCTAGCTTTCTTATTTAGTTTTATATTATTGCCTATGATAACGTTCACATGTATAAAATATATGTTTTTTGTAGGATGATAATGAAGGTCCAGTAACCAAGAGCATACGTCTAACGTCAGCACTTATTTTAAGAAACCTAGTAATTTATTCTTCGACTGGAAGATGGTTTGTAAAAAATTTAATATAATTTTACTTAAATATATTTTTATGATATCTAATTTTTGCATTGTTATTTTTAGGCATTTAAAACGATATGAAGCACACTTGTCAAATATAGCACTGAGTAATGTTGAATCGTCAAGAACAATTTCCCAGCTTTTATTTGATTTGTGTCATTCCAGCTGACCACGCTCAGATGATTAATTTGTTAACATTGTAATTTCTGTACATATCAATCAAAATTGTGGTGTACCCAAAATTTAATTTAATGCTAATAGTGTACAATCTACTTGTACATACAAAATAGTTTTTTTAATTCTCCTCCATCAACTGACTATCGACATACTGTCTTCCAATTTAACAAAAATAAACAGTACTTAAAGTGACAAGTTTAATTGGACTAATAATGTTGTTCTATATAAACTTCTGTTACAAAAAAATTATTTTGAAATATAGTTAAAAAAAAAAAATGTTTTGATCCAGTAAGATTCTTTGTAAATATTATGTACATAAAAGATTTGTTTTAGAGTGAATTTAGTATTAAGTTTGAAAAAAAAAAACAAAAACAATATTTATATTAAATAAGTATATCAGTATGCATTTAATAGTGTTACTTTTAAGCGAACAATTATTGTTTTCCTAGATTTTTTAATTATTATTATTTTTATTATATTATTTATAAAATTATAAACAATAGTTGCAAACCAGTTGCGTAAATGTTGTACATAAATACTTAGAGACGTTACCTGAGTTTTATACGATTTTTTCAAATAATAAAAAAGCTGTATACATTTTATTAGTTTTTATTTTTTATTTTAAATGTACTGTTTTATACACAATAATGCACACTTAATGAATGCATATTTTTTTTATTTTAATTAAGTATTAATTTATTTTCAATCTTGTTACGTGTATCAAGTGTTTGTGCAATACCGGATAAAAAAAAAAATACTACAATGGATTTAGTATTGTTATCGGTCTCCAAAAATTCATATTATAATATATAAATCTCATATTATTTACATAAACATTGTTTTATTTATTTGTTTAAAATTCTAATTGTGCAATAAACAATCAATATTTAGAAAAAGATACATAACTTTAAATTTTGGAACATATATTGAACTTATTTTTATTAAAATTTTACCAAAGAATCAAAGCAAAAACCTTAGTATCATAGTTTAAAAATAATTTGAATTTATTTAATCTTTGATCAGCTTAATGCCTATGTACTAATTAAAATTCTAATAACAAATTCATACAAATGCAAAAATATTGTGAATAAAATTAGAAAAAAGTAACAAAATAATTTTTGAATTCATAAATAATGGCTTAGTAAATATCGTGCAGCTATTTCCTTTTTAAATTTAGTGAATAATGCTAAATTTTCTGCATATTGAATTTCTCTATAGTTAGATTTTCTTTTCTGGGAGGCAAAACTATGTTGAAACGTAAAAATATTAGCAAGTACTTCAAATTGATATTTAGCTGCAAACATTTCGTACACCTGAAAATAACAAATTTGATGATAATAAATTATTATAACAATTTTATATTTCTAAAAGCAAACCTGTGAGTTCCTTGTGTAACCATATCCAATGAATCTTTCATCATAGATTGGAACATTGTTTAATGACACATAAAATGGTTCATAATATAATTGATATTTGGGTACTTTATGACTGATGTGTAAACCGCTTAATTTTTTTGAACTTTTTTCAAACCTATAAATATAATATAATTATTACCCAAGGTTAATTAAATATATATATTTTGTTTAGCTAAAAATTAATTTAAAAGGCATATTTCCACTATTATAAAGGATAAGTATGAAGAATTAATAAAATATCAAGTATGTGTTTATTATAGGTTTTTACAGGACTGAGAACTGAATATTATTATATACAAATTACTAATTAGTAACTATAGGTACTATGGCTAGGTTTGCCAAATCACAGAATAGATACATACATTAGAAAATTAGTTGGCATCTGGTTTAATTTAAAGACTTCCATATGGAAATATCTTGCAAGCCCAGTAGATTTTAATTTAATCAACTCTGTAACATTTTTTGGTGGGTCAGCTGATTTATGAACTTCGTATGTGGGCAAAACATATACACATTTTAAACATTTTGGTCTTTCAGACAAAAATGTATTGAGTAATATTGCTGAATCAATGCTAGGAATAATATCAATGTCTGTAACCAATGCATAGTGAGTTTGACAATTTAAACGAGCTAGATTTCTCAGATGATTTTGAGGGTAAGGCATGCGAATTCTCCATCGTTTAAGAGTTTCTGGTAATTGCTTCATCAAATTTGATAAAACAATAATTGGATCCTGGTGACACGGTAACTGATCTGTCGTGAAACCTGATTGAGTAGATTGTGGAAATTGATTTGCAGGTACGGCAAGATGAAAAGTAACTGTTTGACGAACTGATCGATAACATCGTCGTAGAAATCTTACATAATCTATAATTAAGTAGTTGTTAATGCTCTAGTTAATATAGCATGGTCGCACAGACATAAGATAAACCTACCTTGTAAATAATACAATTCTTCACCAGCTACGTAAATTGCTGTCGATATTGATCCATTCCAATTTTTTGCTAGTTCTACTATAGAATGTAATCTATCTACTGAACATTGTGTAGCTAAACATACCATTCCGCTTGGTTCTTGTTCTGCTATTATGACATTGTCAAATGTTTTAACCATACGTCTACTGTCCCATCGGCCATTAGACAGTTTAAGATGAAAATATGATGTATTTGATTTCTTATGACCACAATCCGTTTTTGATAAGGAACTTGCTTTAAGTAGTGTAAGTGAGAGGTAAATGTTATATAATAATAACACTAAAAGAATATGATGTATGAAAGTAGAATAGCGATTTATGCCCTATAATAACAAATATATGAATACAGTAAAATAGTTTATTAAACAAACTTGAATACTTGACTTACAAATGATTTTAAAAGACGCATTCTAATCTATAGTTAAAACTTAAATATTTTAATCCACTGAATTGCTTTGAACATATTTTTATTCATCATTAAACGTACAATTGTAATATTTTTTTTATACCATTCAAAGTTATAAGTCATATGTGTTTTCCAATTTCTGTCTAAAAAATCTTTGTAAAATTCAGACATTTGATCGGCTGTGGCTGTTGAAATGCCCTTGTCGGATAAACATTTTTTATACGCTTCTCTCTCTTTTATAAATCTCAGGTTGTGGTTAGTCCAAAATTCATGATTCCATTTTGCTACTTCAATTCGCTTAAGCCGTAATTGACGTTCCACGAGGGACTCGTGTTTTGGGATATGATATTTAATTGGTCTCAAATTTGATACTGGATCTGGAGGACCAACTGAATCGACATTGTTCATTGTCCTAAGTAAACAATACGTAAAAAATAAACCACTTTAAAGTACAACAATTAAATAAAAAAATGTTAATAAATACCTTGGACTTTGAACACATTTATAAAACAAAAATTTATAGATTTTGATTTTATTTAAGTGTAAAACTGTAAAATACAATAGTGTTAAATCAATTGCAAAAAAAGAAAAGTTCTCCAAATCCCAATTTCACTGAACTCAATGTCTCAACTCTCAATCATTGATAAATGTCAATTGATAAAAATATAATATAGGTTATCTAAAAATTATAAGATAACACTATCCTGTTTATTTGTAATTACTAATTGTGATGACGACAGTGTAGCCAATAGCAAAGATTTATGACATTCAATTAATTTATTAAGATTTCTGTTACTATGTTCATGATGTTCGGTACCATTGCCACTAGTCAGAAGTAATAAACGTTTGTGCTTATGCTTCTTTCTTTTACATTCTGTGACAGATGTAGTTTGTTTTGCTATCCTTAACTCACGGATTTCGGGATTTACAACAGCCAAAATGGTGAGTGTTTGACTTTTATCCATTTTAATCTTAAGTATTAGACTTTTTAAATGCTCAAAACTTAAAAAAGACGGGGCTCCATTAAACCTTTTTAGTAAATATCTCTCGAAAAACTTTAATCGAAAAATATCGGCTTTACCTCAGACTTTTATATATTAATTAGTCTCAACCCTTTGGTTAGCTTGAAAAATATTCTTTTAATGCGAAATACAATTCAGAAATGATTCTAGACATCAAGGTTAGGCTTCATCATAATATTTGTAATTTTTAATAATTCAAATATAAAATTTATATTATGTACATTCAGAAAGTTTTGGTCATTTCTCATATCAATTGTCTTTATTAGATTATGTTATTTATGGTAATTTATGTAAACAATTTAAAATTAAAGCGTGTTAAAAATGTTTTACAAAATGTATAAGTCTATTACTGTTCAGTTTTATAATCCTAATATTAAACTAGTATTTACTGGTTTTTATGTCAAATATTTAAATCAAGAATACAGTGTAACAATTTTGTGTAGGTTGCCAATACGTCTACTGCTACAATTCGGACTCGCAAGTTCATGACCAACCGACTGCTATGCAGAAAGCAAATGGTAAGTAAATAATTTATGATTCAACAACTTACTCTTATACTCAGTTTCAAATAAATAAATAAATTATCAAAAAGCTTATCTTCAGGTTTACACACATGGTACATTATTTATTGATAGAAAATTAATTGAACTATCAATTTATTATTCTATGTATTGTCTAATCAAATTTAGTATTTACAACATCTCCCAAAATGGTAAACACATACTATCCACCGTCCAAAGACTGATAACTTACTATAAAGTATATATGTTAGGTAATTCTATAGATTAATGGCTGTATTAATAGTTTATACTTAAGAGTAAGTATTGCTTGAGCTACACGTATGATTCAAAAACGAGACTTTGGCTTAAGAAAAGAAAAAGTATTACTTAAATTAAGGTTGATCGAAACCTAGTAGGGGGTAGTACCTTGAGCATTGTTTTTAGTTGTCACAAATTTTTATTTTTAAATTATCAAACTTAACTTAAGCAATACTTAATCTTATGCAGCAACTATGAATGCGGTTCTTAGTTAATCAGCAATAATCTAAATAACATCATATTATTATGCAGTTTTCTATATCTAAAAGCTAATCCATAAATATTTATGCAAAAATTCAAAAATAAACTTTAATGACATTATTGTATAAACACCTTTAAAGTTTTAGGACATTATTCTTTTCCAATAAATCCAACCAGACTCTTTAGTTAGCTATCTATAGTTTTTGTATGTCCAACTCTATATTATAATCAGTGATTATAAGCATTTTCATTATTTTACTCTTGATGTACTTAATGTACTTAAACTAATAAAAATGTTTAGAATGTGATATTCTCTCTAATTTTTCATAATATTGGCATAACTTAAAATGTCGAGTAAGGTTTTTTTCATTTTAAGAATAATACATTTAAAATGTGGACTAAAGGATCCAAAGTTGACCTAACAAAATATTTGTTTTCAAAATTATGATCTTTGTAAAACTCAAATCTGTATTTTGGAACCTGTTAATGTCTGATTTACAAAATTTCGATTTAAGGCATTTTATTTTTTGAGATTATAACTCCTCTAGCTTCGCTTCATGTCAAAGGATTTGTAATAAATTAAAATATTGTTTAAAAATTATTATCACGGTACTATTTCAAGCAGGTTTTCTCAAAAAACTGTGGTTGAAACCTTAAACAATTTGTATTCATTTATTTTTTATTTAGTTATAAATTATAATTAATATTTTATTTATTTAGGTTGTTGATGTCATGCATCCAGGAAAACCTTCTCCTAAAAAAACTGATATTCGTGAAAAATTAGCTAAGATGTTCAAAGTTTTACCTGATGTTGTATTTGTCTTTGGATTCCAAACATGCTTTGGAGGTGGAAAATCAACAGGTTTTGCTCTTATCTACGACACGTTAGATCATGCAAAGAAGTTTGAACCAAAATACAGACTGCAAAGGGTAACAATTTTTTTTTTTATATTTATACCTGTTCTATAAATATTAACAAAACCAATTTTTTTTTTTTAGCATGGACTTTTCGAAAAGAAAACTCAGACAAGGAAACAGAGGAAGGAAAGGAAGAACAGGATGAAGAAGGTGCGAGGTACCAAAAAGACTAAAGTTGGTGCCACCTCTGGAAAAAAGGTATTATAATAATTAATAAGTAATGTTGCCATGTTTCAATTATTAAATTCTTTTTTTTTTTTTTCAGTAAAATGATCGTTAGAAGTGTATGAATGTACTTTGCGGGGCAATCAATATGCTTGTGAATGTAAATAAAACACTTCTTTAATAAAATTGTTGGACTTATTCCATAATTCTGAGTCAATTAGTTTTTCTACCTTTTTCTTTCAATACATTTTTGTTGAAATTGTATTTTATACCAATGTGTTTCCTTTCTTTGCCTATGGACTATGTGACTAAGTAACGATGAAATTATTAAAAAAAAAAAAAAAAAAAAACATTTTATTTATGTAAACTGTTTTGTTTTGCCATTTTTAATAGTTAATACTATTTAAATTATTTTTTTTAATAATGAAACAGGATTATTATTAACAACTAATATTGAATTTTGGTGAATAGTGGTAAGGTTGATAAACAATTTCATATTTTTTTATCTCAATTTTAGAATCTGTTCCATGAAATTCATTTTTTTTTTTTACTATTTATATTAATAGAACTGATTGTGGTTAGTGATGGATCTAATTATTCGTTTGTTTTATAAACTATCGAATAATTTTGGTTTAAAATTTCCCAACCAATTTTAATTTTTGCCCATTTAAATATCTGTTATCAGCTGATTAAGCTTAATCGTAGACGGTACAACTGGCCCTAAACATGTTTAAAGTCTATTTAAATTTAAGTGAAATTGACAGTTAGGCAGTTAGGCTATGGTTGAACCATATTTTGATATCGCCGTCGTGCAAAGAATGCTAAAGGTAAAAAATGTGAAGATTTTATTTTTAAATTTGAGATTTTTATTACTTCAGTGCAGGTTATTGGGGTTAACCAATGAAAATTAAGTTTATACTATGTTCTAACTTATCATGGACATAAATAATGTATTTATATTATGTCTATCTAATCATTAGTAACTGCATGGTCTGTATGCCACAATGTAAGAAATATACTATTGATCTTAAGTAATTTATTAAATCTGACATATCTAGCATAAATAATTTATAAAAAAAAAGTAATTTGTATTCTGTACAGAAACCAATATTTCAATGATCAAGTGTAGGTCGGGTAAAATTACCCTTAGGGCCAGTTGTACCATCTGTGATTATTGATTATGGTTAATCAGAGTATAATCGGCCGAATTTGCTTGTTTAGGGGCCGATTTCACCTACACAGTTAATCACTGTTAACGCTGAATCATCTGATAACAGATATTTAACTGGCCAAATTTGGCCTATTAAAACTCCATATAACTTTAACCGTGATTAACTATATTGGTGGAATCGGCCCTAAATATCTGTTATCAGCTGATTAAGCTTAATCACAGTTAAATTGTAGACTGTGCAACTGGCCCTTAAACTCTTACTTTCCATCTATATAAAAATTTTACTTCTTATTGTGCAAATAGATAGGTACCTATAAGAACATGTACAGTGGCTTATCTTCTTGAAGAATAAAAAAAGTAATATATTTTATTAAATAGTACTTAATACACTATTTGCAATAGGTTTTTATAAAATGTTGAGATTATTATAATACTTGGTTAGTTGGTTCAAATATTTTTAATTTAATATAACTGAAATTATTTTCTATCTTAGAAACAATATTCAATATTATAATATAACAATATTAAACAATTTTTCATAAGTATGGGAAAATGTCACCATTAAAAAAGGCATCAGCAAAAAATTGTCCTTTCGCCTTCATAAATACAATATATGTGATTATATCAATATGTTATAATTTATTTCAATTGTTTTGCAAACCATAAACCATTATAAATGTCATATTGTTGTTTGACTTTAAATAATAGTTAAATAAGTTTTAGATTTTGAATGTATTGATTTTACAATGATGTGGGTTTATTTGTGTCTGTTGTCACCTTTTAATTTTTATTATAGTAAAAGTGCTTGTATTTTCTTCAACAGTATCTTTTGTAATAGGAAAGAGAATCTACAAATAATAATAGTTTTATCTAGAAAAACTAGTAGTTTTCTACAGAAAAACGAGGATTTTTACACAAAATCGATTTTGGTGTAGCTCTAAAACAACTCTTAAACAAATGACCTTAGATACATGCAATTTTGTCTGAATGTTTACATTAGCATTTTTTATACACCATATTTCAAAAAATTTAGACTTCTTTTGAGTTGTGTACTGACATTTTCAGTTTCCAATTTTTTTAGTCTTTTTTTCTATGAATGTCAATAATACTTTATTTTTTGGGTAAACATTTTTTTTTTTCTATAGTAATTGTCAATTAAATTTTATTTGTTCAGTAATAATGCGTTGAAATTTAATACAAGGCTCCTGATATCAGTGGCAGTTTTGACATACAATTTTAGATGAGGCGGAAAAATATTAAATAGTAAATACACTATTACTCTTAACATAAACAAAATATGTTAATGTATTATTTAAATCGAACAACAAACTATTATCCACGGTCTTAGAAGATATCGTTGAATACCGTGCTAAAACAATAATTTTATCATATTCACAGATACATGCAGATATACCTATATATAATATTTTACGACCAAATTAATGATAACAGACGTTTGACAGTGCGACGGCTGTGTATCAGTGACCATAGCTATATACGAGTAGTTCAATTGGCGTCTGACTCTTGACTCTTGGCGAGCGCCACACGCTTAGAAAGTAGCGCAAGTAGCTCCATACAATTTATGTTCCCGGCGGCCAACATCTATAAATATTAAATGTATATAATTATCGTTGAGCAGTTGATTTTAGTCGCCTCTGGCGGCGGACTACGCATGCGTTATTCACACTGTTAAACTGTTTTACGAGCTTACATGTGTGTGCGTAGACGCATCTCGCATGCACGAACTTAGGCGACGTCTCTTTCGATCTCAGCGCTTTAGCGGTGGCATCGCCGGGCGCAATATTAAATGGAAATGGCTCTAACAACTCATACATTGCGTTACAGCGTTACGTTGTTTTTTGTTCTTTGGATATACATAGGCATAATTTTGACAGTTTATGTCTATGCAGTTATTGCAGTTTGCTTTGGCACATAGAATCGAAAAACGTTACGAAAAAAATTGCAAAATATAGCGAAAGTCGGACGTGGACGGTACGCCGCGCTCCGAGAGCATCACTCCTCCACAAACACACACACATATATATCTTTCTCTTTTTTTTGATTTTTCAATGTCTTGTTACTGAAAAGAGTAAAGACATAAAATGTGGTAGGTACTTCATTGCAGACTCGTATGCAATATGTTTTTTTTTATAAGCATTCAAAATTTTTTTTTTACAAAATATAATAATTATTTTGTAGTTAAAAATGTATGTACTATGTAATGTTCAACTTTTATATCTAATGATTGTAAATTTAAAACAAGGTCCCATGTAAATAGGTTATTTATAAATTGCTTTATTCACAATAATATCAAACAGTGGCGTGGTGAACATTTATAAACCTTGATGCCCAGCATATATTTCAGTACCTACCCCTTCTTTATCCCCTTAATATAATATATAATACATATAATTATTATGGAACTGTAAATATTTTAATTTTTTGTTGTATGTTATTGGTTACCATAATGTACCCAACCACCCCACCCCAAAAAAAAAATTCACCATGACGCCTAGTCGTCATAAAACCCCATTCACCACGCCACTGATATCAAATATACTTAGTAATATCATAGGCTGACTGATCACTCAGAATCGTTTTTCTTATACAATGATATTATATTATTGAATTCAAATTTAACACCATCCATTACAGTGACCCACTTGTAACAATGTAACCTACTGTACAACAGAGCGACATCCACTTGCCTACCTTTTTCATTTTCCACTATATTAGTTGCTAGAAAATAAGCCACATACAGTGTATTGTGTATTTCACTCAAATGGTAACACGAAATAACCGTTCAGTGAACTTGGATTGAATTGGGGTTTTTTCGAGGAGCTAGGGATTACTAAAATACACATTTTGTGATAATTTACGAATTTTTAATTCTTTTACTGTGCGCATGCGCAGTAAAACTTACATTTGTCTAACGGCAACACCAGATTTCGATAGAACTACTTTTTTGAAGCAACTTTGATAAACAAACTTTTTTCTTATCTCAATAATTGACTGAATTATAAGAATCCTAAGTTGGATTTTCTCTCTAGTCATTTACCACCAATGTTGCAAAATGTTCCATTAAATATTCGGGAAAACTTGTTATTTCAACAAGATGGTGCTCCAGCACATAATGCTATTGTTGTTAGAAAATACCTTAACGATAAGTTTCGAAATAATTGGATGGGAATAAATGGACTGATAGCTGGACCGCGCTGGTTCAGCGGATTTGACACCACTTGATTTTTTTTGGGGGGTAATTTAAAAACTGCAGTTTATGCTAACCCACCAATTAACCTTCGGCATTTAAAATAAAATATCACCAAAGCATGTACAAGATTGACCAAGGAACAAATAACGTCAGCTTCTCATGACTAAGTCAAGCGCCACTTACAGTTATGTTTACTTAACAACGGGGAAAGCTTTGAACAATTTATAAGGTGATTTGTATTATTTGTAATAATAATTAATATGTTTAAAAATAATTTAAATTAAATTTAGACATAATTATAAAAGTAAAACGTTTAACTTTATTTAAATAACCTCTAAACATTCCATTTATCTTGCTTCCAACCAAAAAAAAAATAAATAAATAAATTGTAAAATAAAACAACAATTTTTTTTGTTTCAACTTAGGATTGCTGTAATTCAGTCAATTTTTGAGGTAGGAAAAAGTTTGTTTATCAAAGTTGCTTAAAAAAAATAGTTCTATCGAAATCTGGTATTGAAAATATTTGGTGTCATTAAAAAAAAGTAAGTTTTACTGCGCATACGTAGAATAAAAAAATTAAAAATTCGAAAATGATCACAAAATGTGTATTTTAGTATTCCCTAACTCCTCGAAAAAAACTCCAATTCAACCATGTTAGTTCTCCTACTGAGGTGGTTTAAACAATTGTTCAATTATTGATGATTCTAATATAATACCTATGTAATGTGTTATGTGTATGACTTTATAGTTATTGTTGGGACTTTGGGAGAATAAATATTGAACTATACATTAATTCAGATTTCAGTGATCACTCGTATAAACATTTCTAGTCAGTTATCTAATTTTTTGATGTTCATGCATAATCATTGGCATCAAACAAATAAATCAGTTCTCTTAACTCTTAATAGTTAAATTATGTATTATATTTCAATATTTGTGACTTAAAAAACATTTCATGAGCTGGTGCGCAGCATCTTAAACAGCATGTACATGTGTACAACAGTAAATTTGTGAAGTTCCATGTCAGCTAAAATGATAAATTTATTTTTCATTTATGCCTTATTCAAATACAATGGAAAACTATGGTATTCGTTTAGCTTGTGGACTACAGAGTAAAAATCGAATTTAGTATGATACCAGGTCCTGCCAAGACGAGTAGGTATCTATTTTATGAACGGCCAACGTTAGGACACCGATCTATTAACAAGTAAGATATATTTTTTAAATAATATACGAAAGGTATATCGCATTATCGCTAAAAATTATTTAAAAATAAAATATAACTTTTTTTAATAATTGTGACATTGCTATTATAGGTGACTTTATTAACCCTAGATCACACGCATTTAAAATGTTCACGAGAATACACGTATCATGGTATTTTTGTGTAACCGTGATGGAAAGTCAGGATAGATACCAGCCAGTTGGAGACAACAAAGATATATGTTCTTTTTTTGAAATTATTCAACAGACCAAAAAAACATTGTAAATTTAAAAAAATAAATTAAAATTTTTTAAAAAATAGTAGATTTTAGTTATAGGGTACGTCATACAACATATGCACTATAAAAGATAGTGCTCAACTTTTAATTATAAGTTAAGGAAGCAATATAAACTTGTTTGGACATCTCTTGTTGTTGCACCGTAATGCAAATTTGCTTGGACATGCCTCGTTGTTGCGCAGTATTTAAATTTTTTTTGGACATATCTTGTTGTTGCACCAAAATTAAATTTTTATTTAATATGAATTTTTCTGGACATATCTATTGTTGTTGCACCAACACAACAACAAGACATATTATAACTCCATGTATAACAGTCGGACATGTCTCATTGTTACACCAATCGATGCAGATTTTTTTTTTTTTATAACGGGAAAAAGTGATTTTGGCCAAAACATGGACATGTCTCGTTGTTGCCCCAAACTCCAAAGTCTTCATTATTGTTAGAGCCTTAGAGAGTTAACCCTCTTAAAACTGGGACAAATAATTCGTTGTTATTGCATATAAATAATATATTTTAATATAATAATATATACATTTTAAATAACCACATTCCACATATACAGCATATAAATTAATATCAGACAATGTAAAATGTGTGTCATTCCACCTGGCGTGGTGAGCAGGGGTGATTGGTAAACAAGTTGTTATAGGGGACACTAGGAAAGCCCGGAAATTTGAAGTAATAAAATACCGATTATAAACTAATATTTTCCTTCCCATTTTAACAGATAAAGGACTGGGCTGGTTATGATCTATTTATACCAAAACACTAAGATATGGTTAAACAATTTTTTTAGTTTTTTTTTTTTCACATTAAAAATATAAATTATTAGAATCTTACATATATAGGGCATAGTACAAATTTAGATACAATAAAAAGAAAAAAACCTGCATACCTTATGGCTTATATAATATAAATAAAAATAAAATATTATTTAAAAAAATGTATATGACATAAATTCTTGTACCTATATTAAATTTGTATTAGGTATGTCATAATTTATACTTTTAATGGAAAAGAAACTAAAAGAATTAGCTGCAATGCTGAGTTAGTTACTTAACTTGTTATTTAGATCTTAGAGAGACCTATCTATGTGTATAATATAAGCAATTCACAGGGACACAGGCTCCGAGATCTCATATGTGATATTCTTACTATAATCTATAATAATATACACATTACATAATATATTAATATGTTTTAATATAATAACAATAAAATTGAGTAAATAATAATGTTTTTACTCTTTTGAGTTTAATGAAACATGGCTAAAATTAGGTATATAATATAAAACTAATAAATAATAATTATTAGTTCATAATATGTAATAAAAGTAATAAAACAATATTTTTTTGGGCTATAATAAGGTATGACTGTTTTTCATTTTTATTATCAGGTAAGGGCCCTCAGTCTAGAAATGTTCATATAGGCTTTTTTTTATAAAGTAGAGCCACCTGCTTTTCAGAAATATTTGAAATAATGTTCAAATGCAAAAAAATATTCTTTTTACATTTTAGTGCTGAAATAATTTGTAATAATTAAAAATTTGTTTATTGCATTTTAAAAACATGATTTATTCAATAATCAAAATTCTGATCAGTCATGTTAGTTGCACCACAACAATGAACTTTTCTCTATAAAGTTATATATTAATTCAAAACTATAATATGTATTTGGATATCTCATACAGCCGTCGATGATAAACGATAATGATAATTATTGATAAAAATTGTCTTGGTAAATAGGTAGTAGGTACTAATTATTACCTAGTAATAATATTTTCATTTAGTTAAATACTTTAATAATTATAAACTATAAACTATAAAGTATAATAAGCAGAAGCTTTTAACATATTATATATTTTGTTATTGACTTAAGCTAATTATAGTGATAACGACTACAAATGTATCTTGTCAATCTTCGTCGACAATAAACTGTCTTCTGGAGAAAAAAAACATGTAATCGACAAAAACCGATACCAAATAATTGTCTGTGTGTGTTTTTATTTAACAAGAATAATTATAAGTAGAAACAAATTAAGAATTAAAAGAATAAAAATAAGTATTCAATAAAATAGTATTCAATAGCAAAGAAAAGTATTTCAAATACCATTCAAATACTTCAAAATAAAAAGTATTTAAAAAAGTATTCAATACGGAAAAAAGTATTTGAATTTTGAATACTTTTACTCAAATATTTACAACACTGCTGTTATGATAATATCTAAATGACTAAATGTCTAAATATCAATCAAAAAATAATAATAATATCGTCATTATTATGCGTGATATTTTTCTACAACGTCTCTAAAACCTCACGCCAATGGTAATTCATATTTGAACTGGCGGTGGCAAACCTTCTCGATTTTTAACTAGTCAACTTTCCTGGGCTAACATTTTATTTTATTAGTACCTTGACTGTAATTATAACTTACAGGTCACAGGGTCACAGCTACAGCATTGTATTATATTTACTATAATTTATATAGGTGCATGATTTTTTAAAATCTTTATAAACATTAAACTATACTAATCTGGGACTAGAAGGGTTTACAAACATCATATTTTGGATCGTTCATATACTCATAGTCCTATAGCAGCAAAGGCGTATCGTGTATAGCCTATAAGTCTATGCATATACCGTATAAATATATTAAAATACATATTGTTTTCAAAAAAGCGCGGCGAAAGGGAACCGGCGACCGGGCTGGTGGACGCACTGTGTCACTGCGTCCACTGCCATTGGCCGACGTCACTACAGCAGCTGCTGCCGTAGCGCTACTAGGTGGTGGGTGGGCCATCGTCCGTCGTTGTCGTCGTCATCACCGCGTCGACGTATCCACTATCCGCCGCGCCCTCAAACAGCACGCACACATACGCGCGCAATGGCGTCCGAAGACAACGGTGACTTCGACACGGATCTGTCCGCGGCACCTGCGAAACGCATGCGGTACTCGTTCGCCGATGAGATTGCCCGAACTTCGCATTTTGAAGCTTTTGGACAGCGATTCACCGGGTTCCCGTCCGGCGAATGTTACGGTAAGTGTGAGCGGAAAAACGCGAAGGGCCGACGCTTCGGCGGCTCGTCGTCCCGCAAACATGGCGGATATTTTTCCCGTTTGCGTGTACTCGACGTGCATTTTCGCCGGGGCGTGCCCCCCTCTCACCCGCCCGCCCATCGCGGTGACGTCATCGTTCCTTCGCTTTCTTTTCCACGGCAACTACGTCATTTCGCGGCTTTTCCAAGTTCTCCGCGGCGTAATATTATTATCTGTCTATGGCCGTTGCCGATAGGCGATAATCGACTTGCTTATGCCGAGTGATAACTGCCGGGTTAACACTTAACATTCTGCGCCGTAGTCTGTGAAACTTGATTAATTGTTCAATTTTTAAGATTTTCATGTATTGCATAACTTTCCGTATTGTAGTATCGATCAAGTAATAATTAATATAATATTTTCGCATAACTTTAGAAATCTCGGTTTAAGAGTCGTTTTAATGTCCGAGTTAATTAATCGGATTATGGGTCTTTAAGATTAAATACTAATTGGCATTTAATGGAACTTAATAATCAAATGATACTCAATGAATCATTTTTAACAATCCATTCGTATATTTATTAACTATATTAATGTCTTTATTCAACACAAAGAGAAAATTATGTATTTAATCATTTTTTACTAAATGTAGGTATTAATTATATTTTATGATTTATTTTCATTACTATAATTAATTATTTAACTATCGTGTTTCTCTAGATAATATTTAAACACCACTTCAAATAGTGTGGCTTCCTCCCCTTAAATCTTCTAATTTAGTTATAATAAATTTATCTTTAAGGATTGCTATCCACTATGTCACTATGGACTTCATTTTTAAATGAAAAAAATAAAAAAAAATAGGTTATTATTTTTCATTATTAGTATGTTATTCAAAACCAATTCGACCAATAAAAATAAAAATAGTAATATATTACATACCTAATAGTACCTATACAACACATAAATTATATTATAAATGTATATTAATTTATGATTTTAGCCAATAATTTATATCAGCAATCATACAAGTCTTTAGATACTCTATCACCAAATTATTTACAACCAAATTCACCAACCCCACCATTAACAATGTCTTCAAGTTTACCAGAATCTCCGGAAGACTCTAGGTAAATATATATACTTTTTTAATTATAAAAAATGTTGACATTCTTTACATTATCATATGTTCCATAAAGTATATTTGATGAAAGTTCAGACACTAAAGAAGAACCTGAGGACGATGATTCATCATCCACATCCAGTTCAGACTCCAGCACACATTCTGATAATGCAGATTCTGAAAAAGGAGTACCTGGTAATAAAAACATTGGATTTTTTAAGTTTTATTTCAATTAATATTATAATATTAATTTGAATGAAGGTTCAATGGACTGGGTTCAGCGACAAATTATGGGTGGTATAAATCCGAGACGTTTGTTACATCAAGTGTTTGGAGCTTCTGTTCCATCTCAGTTAGAAGATATAACATTATGGAGAGTAAGTAACTTTTAATTCTAGATTAGTATTTAAAATTAAAAAAAAAAAATTTATCTCACAGATAATCATGAGTATGACAGATGACTCTCCAATACGAAATCGTCTTCGTAGTGTTAGTTCACTTGATGATGTTGTTAGATTATTGAAAACAAGCAATCGCATTATGGTTCTTACTGGAGCAGGTGTAAGTAAATTTTTTAACTATAAGAATTTACAATCATCATTAAGTTATTATAATATTTATTTTTCTAGGTCTCTGTTTCTTGTGGAATACCAGATTTTCGAAGTCATAACGGAGTTTATGCTAGGCTAGCAACAGAATTTCCCGACTTACCTGATCCCCAATCTATGTTTTGCATTGATTATTTCAGTAAAGACCCTAGGCCATTTTTTAAATTTGCCAGAGAAATCTATCCAGGACAATTTAAACCATCGCCATCCCACCAGTATGTGATTTTCATTATTTATAGTGCCTACATAATTGCAATTAATATTTTTTGTTATAGATTTATTAAAGTCTTAGAAAAGAAAGGACGACTCTTACGTAATTACACTCAGAATATTGATACATTGGAACAAGTTGTTGGTATTAATAATGTTATTGAATGTCATGGTATGATAATTAATTTATATAACCATAGTATTCTGTAAAATAGTATATTAATTGTTTTTTTAATATTAGGATCTTTTGCTACTGCATCATGTACTCAATGCGGACACAAAGTATCAGCAGAAACTATAAGACCTGATGTATTTGAACAAAGAATTCCTCGTTGTCCAATATGTGTCAATAGTACTGGTAATTTATATATATATATTTATTTATTATATAAACTATTGAACTTAAATAACTGTAACTATAATTGTTTATTTAATATGTTCTTAGGTATTATGAAACCAGATATTGTATTTTTCGGAGAAGGACTTCCTGACAGTTTCCATAAAGCAATTGAAGATGACAAAAATAATTGTGATTTATTGATAGTAATTGGATCATCATTGAAAGTACGACCAGTGGCTCGTATACCTAGTAAGTTTAATAATGAATTAAGTACAATTGAGAAATAGCAAATTATAAAGAAAGTATCATTTTTTTTAGATATGTTAGACAAACATGTTCCACAAATATTAATAAATCGCGAAAGACTACCACATATGAATTTTGATGTTGAACTTCTTGGTGACAGTGATGTTATTGTGGATCACCTATGTCGCATGTAAGTATTTAATAAATGTAGACTACCTAAACGTTATATGTTTATCTAATTCTACAAATATTTATAAAATAGGCTAGGTTCAGATTGGACTGAGCTATGTTGGTGCAAAGAGGAATTGACCGAAACTAAAACTTTGAATACACCTACTTCATCGCCAAGGTAATATTTTTACATTTTCATACATTGAAACAATTTTGTATGTGTATTAACAAATATTTTGTATAAACAGGTCTAATGAAGCTACAATTGAAACTGTAGAAGGTGAAATGTCTACCGATTCTACAAGAGATAGTGCTAACAGTATGTCACCACCACTTGGTGATGATAGATTTACTCCAGGTACTTCAGGTGAACAACGGAATTTATCCACAGACTCTACAAGAGATAGCGGTATTGATCCAGATGATCCTCAAAAATCTAGTCTAGCTTCATATTTACCATGTAATATACTATAAATGTTTACTTTTTCCCTGTACGTTTACTAAATTAAATTTTTTTTTTTAGCTAATAAATACTACATGTTGAAAAAAAGAAGGTACATGTTTTCTGGTGCAGAAGTGGATTTAAATGACATGAACGATGACAGTGAAACGGAATCAGACTCAAGTGAAAAATCCGAAACCCCCCCATTGCATTAAAATTAATTACTTTACAATTTATATATTTAGCTCAATTGTTACTTAACTATCACAAGCTAATAATATTGTTTTTGCTTTCATTCAAAGATGTATGATATTGTCTCCTATTTATCTTGTATTCCCTAACAATTCTCTGTTTGTTATTATTTTATATACCCTTAAATTTATTATTTTTCCATTTTTAATTTATGTAGCCAAATTACCTTTCAAATATATGTAAATATATAATGTATATACACTATACACAATGTTTAAAAATTAGCGAGTGAAAATAACCGTCAATTATTAATTACAAAAGTTATTTTCTGTAATGATTTAAGTACTAGGGATATTTTTTTATTAAATATTATTTAATTTTTTTATAATAAAATATTAAAATGTACTCCATAAACTAATGTATATTTTAATAAAAAAAAAATTAAAATGCTTTCTTATATTTATTAACAAGTTAAATATTAAATCACTCTTGTGTAATTACAATTAAGTTTAATTGTATAATTTGTATTGATTACATATTTAATTTATAATAATCAATTTTTAAAAAAAGTTCTTACTTAAAAAAAAATTATAAGTAGTTTAAATATCAATATGATAATTATTTGTTTTATCATAAAAATGATTGGTTTATATTATTCATACTTGTTATTCTTGTATGTAATTAAATATTACAGAAAATTAGCTAGGTTTATTATTTTCGATATATATAATAATAAATCTAATTAAATCACTCATTAAAATTCTGATATAATATATTAATGCATTTAAAATTAATTAATTGTAAAAATGCAAAATATATTTTCTTAAGGTGAAAATATGTGATTTTTTTTAAGTGTTGAGGTGTATGGAAAATGTTATTAATTGTTAGTTTGTATTTTTTAACTGTCGAGTTTTTAATTATTATGTCACTCATTTTGTTGTGCTAAACATTGTAAAACAATACACCATTAACAAAAACATAGGAAAACAAAATATGATGTGTTCAAAATGTTATAATTTACCGTGTTCCTTTTCAAACATATTAGCAATACATAATTATTAATTATATTTAGTTACTATGTTGTTAGTTTATTTTATATTGTAATTAAAATAAAATTTTTTATTTTGAGAGTATTAAGTTTTAAGTTATATACTGTATAATATCTAAATGTTAAGGTGCATTTTTTAATAGACAATATCAAAATTGTAGTATTAACTTGCAATCATTAAGTACTTACTCAAATTTAGAAATTTAAGTCAGATATTCTTTAATTTAATTTTAATTTGCTAATATTTATATTATATTAATGTAAGTAATAGCGTTTATACCAAATCTTCTATATTTTTTTTATAATGCTTTTTCTTTCGTTATAATAATCGTGCAAACAAATAAATACTCTTTTAATAATTATTTTTATTACCACTAATATACTGTAGAAAAAACTTAGCATATTCACTAACTTTTGTTATCTAACTAGTGAATTGAAAATAAAATAATTTACACGTTTAATTATGATTACCTAAATATTATGAACATTGAAGGTACTAGGTATTAATTATTATAAAAAATTAAGTAAAGCTTGAGTCAAAACCAATTTTTTATGGAAGTCCATGTCAGTATGTACTATGTAACCTACATTTTTCAAAAAAAAAAATTTGTTTTAACTATTCCCGTGTTAAATTAAATTTAAATTTACTCTAGACAATAGAGGGGACACTTTCAAATGGGTTATGGAAATACTATTATCATTGAATAACATTGGTATTCAGTCGAAAACCCAATAAAGTAGATGATCTAATGTTCTGATGATATAAAAAAAGAAAACGCTCTTTTTCAGGGCTGTCCACACGTGTTGAAAAGAAGGGTCACTTACAGGGGCGGAGTGGCCGGTCTGGAAATGGGAATTTTCCAGATGGCCTGGTGGCCTAGCCATTTTGTTAGATTTTTTTTTTTAATTTAAATTAATTTACAAAATATTAGTTAATGCTAAATGCATCAAAAATTTGTTTCTATTAAATTATTGTATTACAAATATTATTAATGAAATAATAGTAAATTGTAATAGCCTCGTACAATCGTATACTCTTATGAGAAATCTTTGGATAAAAAATTACAAAATATTTGGTACATAAATATAGATATCAAATAAAATCAAAGCAATATAATATTTATATGGGTCGATTATTTTTATAAAAAAACACCCAGATAGTGTGTGGTCTCGGTTCAATCCAACAGAACTAATTACCTACTAAGAAATTATAAATTACTGATTCGACGCATTTCCGCATGTTGAAACCTGCAAGTTGTTTATTTGTACCCTGTAGGGCTGTTGAGTGGCGACGAATATAGCAATACCAAATGGCTACTAATAACTAATAATAACATTGATTATAAGTACTAATATAATGTCTAATACTAGTATTTTGTATATTTTATAACAATCAATGATAATACATTAATACATATTAATTTTGTATTATTGGTCACTTTACTTTGGTCATTGTTATTTTTATAAAGAATATCTGTAATAAACCCAAACAAATTAGTCATTAGTGTTTGATATTTGTCCCCTGGTCACTGGTGTTGAGTGTGTCGACCGTGTCGTTTATGAATTATGGTGTATCCACGTTTTTCCTTTTAAGTAATTTTGTGTACCTTAAAAGTATTTGTAATATCTTATAAAGGTAGCATAATACTTGTAGTTTACTGGAATAAACAACTTTACTTTATTTAGTATAAATTAATATATAACACACACATGGTTGTCTACAGCTCTTGTTACAACATGTTACATTATAATTATTAGGTTATGTTATCATAATATACATTATCATATGACGTTATCACAGTCCTTATCCCTAGTTACATCAATACATAATGAATAACAATTAATAGCTAATACATAATTAAATCTTTTACATTATACAAAATCAACAAAATCAACTTAACTAATAAACATCATACAACAAATATAAAACCTAAATAATTATATAATACAATTTTATATGTTCAACCTATCTGGTTTTTTTCTTTTTCTCTTAGATCTTTTTGGTAAAGGAACTTCTACTTCCTTTTCTAAACTTTCATTTATTTCATATTTTTTTTTATCAAAAGCTTCTTCTTTTACCTCATTAATTTTCTTTTCCTCCAGTTCTGTTTGTTCTTCTCCTTTCTCATTTTCTTCTATTTCATAACTCTTTTCATTTATCTTACCTACTTCTATTAGTTGGTCAACGTGTCTCCTCCATATCACATTTCCTTTTTCTAATCTAACTAAATATATTCTATCACCTAACACTTCTTCGACTGTTCCTTTCTTCCACTCTTTTTTATTAGGGTTGGAATAATCCCTAGCATAAACTATGTCTCCTTCTTTAAAATATACTTTTCTAAATCTTTTTACATACTTATTTTTTTCTATAGGAATATATAATTGATCTAACCTAGTTTTAATTTTCCTTCCAAACATTCTATAACTTGGTGACTATCAGACTATGTCAGTAGATATCTTTGAATTAATGTATTTAAAGAAACATTTTTATTTATTTTATCCTTAACTGCCTTTAATATACCATTTTTTAAAGATTTAACAGCATTTTCTGCCGATCCATTTTTAGCCGGATGATAAGGAGGGGACGTTACAAACCTAATCATATTATTTTTACAAAATTGTATAAATTCCTCTGATCTAAATTGCGGTCCATTATCTGACACAATTTTGTTCGGTAATCCAAACCTAGCAAATATCTCTCTTAACTTTTCAATAACCGAACCACTGTTCAATATTTTCATTTCAGCTACTTCTGGCCATTTTGTAAATATATCTGTCATGATCAAATAGTTTTTACCTTGTAAATATAGAAAATCTATGTGTATTCTATCCATTGGACAACTCGCTTCCTCCCACTTTTTTGGTTCAGCTAAAATTGGTTCTACAACTTTGTACCCACTTTTCTATATCTTTATCTAATCCAGGCCACCACATGTATGATCTACACAATGTTTTCATTTTAGACATACCCATATGCGTTGAATGTACTTCTTTCAATAAATCCTTCCTCAGAACTTTAGGAATTAATATTCTATACCCCCACATTAATATATCTTTATCTACACAAATTTCTTCCTTTCTAATTGCATAAGGTTTCAGTTCCTCGCTTACTTTTATCGGCCAACCTTCATTCAAAAACTTAATAACTAAACTAAACTCTTTATCTTTCTTAGTTTCTACTCTAAGTATCCCATAATCAATAGGCATAGTATTTTCCATAAAATCAACATAATCCACTTCTTTTGTTTGAATTAATACATCATCTTTATCAGGTAATCTAGAAAGTCCATCTGCCACTTTATTATCATTACCTTTAATATGTACCACTTGATAATCAAACTCAGATAAATATAACGCCCACCTTTGAATTCTCCCAGAGGCCATAACAGGAATACCTTTCTTTTCCCCATACAACGCTAACAAAGGTTTATGGTCAGTCTCCAGAAAAAATTTTCTACCCAAAAGATACTGAGAAAATTTCTTTACCCCCCAGAAAACCGCTAAAGCCTCTTTTTGTATTACTGAGTATTTTCTTTCAGCCACGGTTAGGATTCTTGATGCATACCCCACTGGTCGCTTTTCTCCATTTTCAAAAATATGCATTAACACTGCTCCTATACCATACTCCGACGCATCGCAAGACAATACAACATCCAAATCAGGATTGTAATGAACCAATAATGATTCTGATGCCATTGCTTGCTTTGTCTTATTAAATGCCTCTCTACATTCCTTTGTCCAAACAAATTTTACCTCTTTTTTTAACAAATTGTAAATAGGACCTAGTAAGGTTGATAAATTTGGTATAAACTTAGCATAGTAGTTCACCATCCCTGTAAAGGCTTTTACTTCTGTGACACTCTTAGGCTCTATTGCATTAAGCATAGCTTTAACTTTATTTTCATCTCTTTCAATACCTTCTGATCCAATTACATGTCCTAGGTAATTTATTTTTGGTTGAAAAAAACTACATTTTTTTTTATTTAACCTAAACCCAGCCTTTTGTAACCTTTTAAACACCTCCCTTAGATTATCTAAGTGTTCCTGTTCACTACTACCAGTTACAATGATGTCATCTAAAAAGTTTTTAACACCCTTTGTTCCTAAAAGCACTTTTTCAATAACACTCTGAAACTTTGAACAAGCTGGTTTGGTACCGAAAGGTAATCTTTTTACTAAATAAATACCTTTACTTGTACTCCAAGCTAATAGTTTTTGTGTATTTTCACATAACTCTAACTGGTTATAAGCATTCAAAAAATCTAATTTAGAAAATGTTTTACCTCCTTGTAACGCCACAAAAACATCTTCTACTCTTGGTAATGGATGATTAATATCTACTAAATATTTATTGACCGTAGTCTTATAATCTGCACATAATCTAATAGATCCATCTGGTTTAATCACAGGTACAAGTGGAGTGCCCCATTCACTAGTCTCAACTTTCTGTATTATATCCTCCTTTTCTAATCTATCCAACTCCTCCTCAACTTTCTTTTTAAAAGCAAAAGGTATTGGTCTTGGTTTACAAAATACAGGTGTACATCCTTCTTTAACTTTCAATGTCACTTTTTCATATTTATATTTACCAACTTTTTCCTCAAATAATTCCTCAAATTCATTCATTAGTAACTCTAATTTATTATTCTTATTTGTGCTTTCTACTTCAATCTTTGAAATACCCATAATCGTTATTCCTAATTTTTTCATTAAATCTCTACCTACCAGAGCTCTATGTCCTTTTTTTACTACTAATAATTTACCATATAACTCTCTTTCACCATACTTCAATTTTACTTCAATTTCTCCTGTTGGTTTAATAATTGAACCATCATACGTTCTTAGCTTTAACACCGTAGAATTAATGTGTATATGAGGTAACTTCTCTTTCACAATTTCTTCAGGTAATATTGATATACCAGCACCTGAATCAACTTCCATTTCAATTGATACATTTTCAATTTTTACACTTATCATTACAGGACTTAATCCGCAGTTATTTTCACTTTTAACCTCAACTTGAAACATATCCATAACTTTATTCTCCTCAACTTCAACAAAATGATTTTTAACTGTTTTACACACTTTTGCCAAATGCCCTACCGTATTACAATTTTTACATTTATATTGTTTATACTTACATTCTGAAAATTTGTGATTTGTCAGACCACATACATAACAAGCTTTATCATAGTTTTTCTTCGTAGTCTTCTCGCCTCCCATCGTTGTTGATAGTTTCTTCTGCGAACCATTACCATTTTTCTTCTTAGCTCCTTCCCTGCTTCTCCCAATCGAATGCACCTCGATGTTAGTTGTTTTGATTGCGGCTTCTTTCTTCATTGCAACTTCCATCAGCTCACTCAAATCCTTGGTCGTTTCTTCTTCATACAACCGATCTTTGATTGGACCATCCTTCATCCCAGTAGTGAATTTATCTTTTAGTACTGGTATCAAATTTGATCCAAAACTACATTGTGCTGCAAAATTCTTCATCTTTGCACACCAGTCTGTTACGGACTCATTAGCAGTGGCGTAAACTGGGTGGTGCAAATGCAGCACTTGCACCACCACATCTAAAATGTGGTGGTGCAAAGGTATGTTTTTGCACCACCAGAAAATCATTGAAATATATAATAGGTATATAAAAAGATACAAAATAGTTATTTTAGTGCATGTATTAGACATTATCATTTAAATTTTAAATTATTACCCTATCTATATTCTAAAATATCGTACAACCCCCATAAATAGTTAGATTATTATCTATGGTAATTGGTAACCACTATCCACAGAATTTTGTATTTTATTATGGCAGTATCACAGAATCACGATTAAAGATATTATATCTTTAATCGTGCACAGAATAGACGTATAATATGGTAAAATTATATTGCTATCAACATTCTACCGCCCAAATAGTGTGTTATTACTGGATCAATGTTCATTCAATTCTCAAAAGTCAAATGTCAGATGACAGCTAGACGTCGTATTGAATCAAATTTTAAAATTCTCTACAGGTTTCATAAGCGCCAGGAAAAACAACATAAAAATTAAGGAAAAACAGGAATTTTTACCCGAAATCGGTTTTCGACAAAATCGATTTTGGTTTTTGACCAAACAAATGAACATATACATATATAATTAAAATATTCACTGGTTGGGTAAAAAAGCTTGGAAATTTAATACAAGGCTTCAACTATATTGTTACAATGACATTAGAAAATTATTAAAAATATTTAGTCCCAGTTTTTTTTATAAGCATTTAAAGTTCAAATCTTGACAAAATACAGAAAAATCACGAAAATTAACAATATAATATGAGTTGAAAAAATCATAAAAATGTTTCTTTTTAAATTTAAGATTTTAAAATGTAATACAAGATTATTCATAAGTTTGTATACGCCTTTATCAAAAAAAAAATGTCCACAAGTAAATCAAATTAAATTTTTATGAGCATTTGAAAATCATATTTTTACAAGATTGGATATTCACTAGATTTCTCATGTACCGATTTTGTTAATTTGTTGTTATTCAAACAAATAACTGTAAATACATGAAAATTATTTATTTATATATTTATATTTTAATTTTCTATACACCACAAAGTTTTGAAAATATTTTAACTCTCTTTGAGCTGTTTCCGGACATTGTCATTTTTATACACTTTTCTTAAGTTCGGTTTCACGTCCGTCTGTGATCAAATCTTGCGGGCTCGATTTGAGGCACTTTTTAAAGATGAAAAATTCTGAAAATTGGTATAGACCTTTTTTTTTTGATGACAATACAATAGTCCGTAAAAAAAATTTTTTAACTAAAAAGTATAAAATAAAAAATTAAAAAATTTTTTTTTAAAAACACACTTTTCTAAAAAAACAAAAAAATAATGAAAAATTTAAAAGTGTGTGGCGCTCTTACACTTGACATATTATACCACACACTTTTAAATTTTTCATTATTTTTTTGTTTTTTTAGAAAAGTGTGTTTTTAAAAAAAAAATTTTTTAATTTTTTTAGTTTTTTTTTCTATAAATATCAATAAAATTTTATTTGTTGGGTAAAAAGCGTGAAAATTTAATGGAAGGCTCCTGATATATTGTTACAATAGCGTTGAAAAATATTAAAAATACATAGCCACAATTTTTTTTTATAAGCATTTGAAGTTCAAATGTTGACAAAATGTATGGATAAATATATAGTTTTTTTTTGTTATTAAGGATTTTACTTAGAAAGTTGGGTTGAAGTATGGCTTTTGGGTCTGGAGAAAAAATCCGGAAAAAATAACTAAGTCCATATCACTACCGTAGTACTATCACTACATCAATACTCCGCAGTGTTACCACAGCAATAATAATTTTATACTATTTATATAAGTGCAAAATAAAATAATATCCCTGATCAAATTATTCTAAGTACAAAATAAAATTTTAAAAATGTGATTGACGTGAAGGCCCTTGGTTTTTTCGAAACCTATCGGAAACATACTTTTATAATAATATAATTTCAATTTTCCGAAAAGAAAAAATTTCAAAATATCGAAAAACGTCCAAGAGGTTTTCGATTCGTACACCGTAGTAGAAAAATAATCAGCGGTCGGATTTTATTATTTTCGATTTTCCGATCGATTTTCCCCATAGAGTATGGCTTTTGGGTCTGGGAAAAAATTTCAAAATATCGAAAAACGTCCAAGAGGTTTTCGATTCGTACACCGTAGTAGAAAAATAATCAGCGGTCGGATTTTATTATTTTCGATTTAAAACGGCCCTTTTCAGGGCCACCACATTTTTAAGTTCATAAATATATTATTATATATTTAAAATATATAATATTAGATATAAATAATAAGTAGGTATATATTTTTATTTATTGAAAGTAACAATATTTTGTTGTATCTATTTAATAAAATATAATTTAAGATTGTCCCTTGATAGCTGCGATGACAAGATAATTAAAAATAATGACGGAGTACTCGCTAACAAATCGGTAAAACAGAAATCCGACCGCTGATTATTTTTCTACTACGGTGTACGAATCGAAAACCTCTTGGACGTTTTTCGATATTTTGAAATTTTTTCCCAGACCCAAAAGCCATACTCTATGGGGAAAATCGATCGGAAAATCGAAAATAATAAAATCCGACCGCTGATTATTTTTCTACTACGGTGTACGAATCGAAAACCTCTTGGACGTTTTTCGATATTTTGAAATTTTTTCCCAGACCCAAAAGCCATACTCTATGGGGAAAATCGATCGGAAAATCGAAAATAATAAAATCCGACCGCTGATTATTTTTCTACTACGGTGTACGAATCGAAAACCTCTTGGACGTTTTTCGATATTTTGAAATTTTTTCCCAGACCCAAAAGCCATACTCTATGGGGAAAATCGATCGGAAAATCGAAAATAATAAAATCCGACCGCTGATTATTTTTCTACTACGGTGTACGAATCGAAAACCTCTTGGACGTTTTTCGATATTTTGAAATTTTTTCTTTTCGGAAAATTGAAATTATATTATTATAAAAGTATGTTTCCGATAGGTTTCGAAAAAACCAAGGGCCTTCACGTCAATCACATTTTTAAAATTTTATTTTGTACTTAGAATAATTTGATCAGGGATATTATTTTATTTTGCACTTATATAAATAGTATAAAATTATTATTGCTGTGGTAACACTGCGGAGTATTGATGTAGTGATAGTACTACGGTAGTGATATGGACTTAGTTATTTTTTCCGGATTTTTTCTCCAGACCCAAAAGCCATACTTCAACCAAGGTACCTTACGTTCTTCAGGAATTCCATTTGCCAAAAAAAATTGCTCCATCCGCTCCTGGTACACATTCCAGCAGTGTTGCCGATAGTACGGTATTTGTCGGGGGATTACGGTAATTTCATACTCCGTACGGTCGGAGTACGGTCAACCAAAAATGGGTCAAATAGTACGGTAAATTCAAAAAAAAAAAATTAGCTTTTCATCATATTTGTTATAAATATTTTGTATTTGATTTTATTTTTGTATCAATTCTATATATTATATAATATTGAACTTCGAACCTGACCCAGACTTTTGATCGTGATATTATGTGAGCTGGACTAAGATGGTGCTCAGTTTCTCCCTAGTTAGAATTCCCATAGAATTCCATAGAATTCCCCATAAAAGAAAACAGAGTTTATCTAATAACCCCAAACCTTGGGTGAAACTATCATAATAATTAACTATAATTTTTGATTTTAAATATCATGTAATTTTTGTTTTTGAATTTTTTATCATGTTGTCTGTAATTCATAAGGGCTGGTTATTTTATTAATTTACATTTATTTTAACAACTACATAAAATCATCAATTAAAAATAAATTAATTCATCAAAATGTTTGAATAAAATAATAAATTGTTTAATATCTAAGTACGCGACCGCTGCAGGCAGAATAATGCAATATCCGACGGTAAACCACGGTATTCGTATTAAGATGATAATTAAAAATCACGGGGCCCTTTAACAAGCGCGGGGCCCTGGACAAATGTCCCATTTGTCCTCTCCTAGCGCCGGCACTGTCCATAACCCTGAACCCATTATAAGTTTTTACCTGAAGATTGTTAATTGTTATTTGTTATCACGATTAAAGATATACAGGTTGCACATCGACTACTGATAAGGTGAAATACGAAATGACTACCAATAATTAACCAGTGGCGCTCCAAGCGGCAGTATTACAATTAACCAATTATAGATATATAGGTGTAAAATTAGTTCTAAATGTCGACACATATGGTTGAGTGTTGACATTAAGCGCCACTAGTTAATTATTAACAGCTGATTTTTATAGTCACTTCGTAAATCAGTCTGGAAGCGGTTTACTATAGGGCGATGTGCAACCTGTATATCTTTAATCGTGTTTGTTATTAATTTTTAATAGGTTTTAATGGTTTTATAAATATTTGATAAGAATTTGATAAGAATTTGATAAGAATTCGGATAAGAAATTATAACTGATAACCATGCTGATAACCTAAAAAATCAATAAGTACGGTAATATTGTTCAAAGTACGGTAATTTTGTCATATTTTCCCCGCTGACTAGATAACAAACATTGGCAACGCTGCATTCCAGTCGCCATCGATTCTGAACTCCGCCAATGTCCCCATAGTACCATACATTTGGACTTGCTGTATAGTAGTACTCTCATTCCCGCCTTGGGCGTTACTACTATTCCGGCCGTTCGTCATCGTTAAATGGTTGTTTTATCCTTTTCGATCGCGTTCACAATTACTGTTTTTGCCTCGTCGCCATTTGTAATATCTTATAAAGGTAGCATAATACTTGTAGTTTACTGGAATAAACAACTTTACTTTATTTAGTATAAATTAATATATAACACACACATGGTTGTCTACAGCTCTTGTTACAACATGTTACATTATAATTATTAGGTTATGTTATCATAATATACATTATCATATGACGTTATCACAGTATTTTATTTACTATTTAGTTAA